GTCGTCTGTTTGAAGTCTTAGCACTCTCGAGTTCGAATCTCTCAACCTAAAACCTAAGATAGTTTACAATAGAATATCGTCTTTATAAAATATAGATTTCTTATTGGTAGGTTTCTATATTGTGTATGTGAATGTAGGATGGAGTCACCTGGCTCCTGAATTCTCCGGACAGGAATCTGCCATTGATTCTGGCAGACAACGGTTTCGACGTGTGGATTGCTAACACAAGAGGGACCAGGTTCAGCCGGCGACATACTTCCATGGATCCCGGCGATCCGGTTCGATCTTATATGCACTTTCTTTTTGAATTCAGGATGAAATATCAAGTTTTTTCTGGATTTTAATGAATTTGTGATTTGTGACAATGGCAGAAATTTTGGAATTGGTCTTGGGATGAATTGGTGGCTTTTGACCTACCAGCAGTGTTTGATTTCGTGTATGGCAAGGCAGGACAGAAGATCAATTATGTTGGCCATTCCCAGGTGAGAATCAATATATTTGTTCTGTATATGCACTTTTGGAGGGCGAACCTTAGAACAGCAAAAATGTTGCTCTTTTATGATCGAAAGATCATGAGTTCGAGTCCTAAAAATAACCTCTTTACTATGTAGATCATCCCCCAACCCTCACAAAATGAGAAGCCTTGTTAGCTTAAGGTCGCCCATATATATGCACCTTTGAGCCAAAAAAAAAAACTTTTGTAAAGACTACTATAACAGTATTTCAAGTTGATCACTCATCATCTTCTACCGGTGCACGTTTCTGCTTATTTTTTTATATTGAATAGTTTAATACAAAATTGAATGTGCAAAAATCACTTTCTTTCCATAAATTTACTCATCTTTTTATTTTCAAGACATTCCAACATTTTTTTATAAGAAGAAAAGCTTATGTTCATTTATTTGGCAGGGAACTTTAATTGTATTGGCATCGCTATCAGAAGGGAAACTGGTGGACCAGATGAAATCAGCAGCCTTGCTAAGCCCCATTGCTTATTTGAGCCACATGAACACTGCACTTGGTGTGGCTGCTGCCAAATCCTTTGTTGGTGAGGTACTTCAGTCGTTAATAATTGAGTCAATGATTTCCCATATTAATTCGCTAATACAATGTTTATGTCTAAATACATGTCACTAATTACTTAACTCTTGATTTCCCCAACAGATCACTACGCTTTTCGGTCTTGCGGAGTTCAATCCGAAAGGGTAAGAATGAGAAATTAACCATTCATTTGCGTGTTACATTATGAGCGTATGTATTATACTATACCTTAAGTGCATGGCCGTCGTTCATTTATATTAAGCTTTTTAGCCTAAAAGATTCATGAGATTATCATAACTTCTCACTTTAGTCTCTGACATTAAAAATTGATAAAAATTCACGTTCAATTGTCACGTGAATGACTATTTGACAAACTTTTAAGAGTAATTTTTGTTAAACCAACCCCTTCACTTAACGAGGATATTGACATGTTTTTTTACGGAATGACCAAAGTGATTTATGATGGACAAATTCAAGGATCACTTTTATCGATTTTCATTATTAGGGGCCAAAGTGAGAAATAAGGCTAATCTTAAGAATCATTTTAGCTAAAAGACCTTTATATTATACTCGTTAACTGATTGTATCAGGTAACGGTATTCGGGTACTATTGATTTGATATAATTTGAGGTTTGTCCTAATTGCAGGGACCCAGTGGCTCAATTTCTGCAAGTTCTGTGTGCTGATCCAGGGGTTGACTGCTATGACTTATTGCAAGCAGTTACTGGTATAATTAGTCTTTTCTCATTATCTCTGTAATTATTATTATTCCAACCTTTGCAGCTAGCAGAACTATAACACAATTATGCTAATCACCATCCTAAATTGATCTGATTTAAGGCAAAAACTGCTGTCTCAATTCTTCCACCGTCGATCTCTTCTTGGAGAATGAGCCTCAGTCAACATCCACCAAGAACATGGTGCACTTGGCTCAAAGTAAGTTGTTTTATCCATCAAAAACTCCTGTCTCAATTCTCGAACGTCATAAGTTGTGTAGATACATGATTGTATACAATCTATGATAAGACATTCTAAATAGTTAAGATTTGTGACATAAATTAAACGAGATTCTCGAACGTCATAAGTTATGTAGATATGTAATCGTATCCAATTGACAATAAGATATTTTAAGTAGTTATGACTTGTGACGTAAATTAACTTGCAGCTGTACGAGATGGGAAGTTGGCGAAGTACAACTACGGGATACCAGACTACAACTTGATGCATTATGGCGAATTTAACCCTCCAGTTTACAACCTCTCCAACATCCCCCATGACCTTCCTCTGTTCCTCAGCTACGGCGGCCAAGACGCGCTCTCTGATCCTCGCGACGTGGCGCGCTTGCTGGATAGTCTGAAACTTCATGATGTGGGGAAGCTCACTGTACAGTACATAGAGAATTATGCACATGCAGATTTCATCATGGGGTTGAATGCCAAGGACATTGTGTATAATCAAGTCACTGCGTTTTTCAATCAGCAACATTGATATTTCCACTAAGATTGAGGCCCAAAGGTTACCCAATGTACGTGGGTCATGAGCTTAAGTAAAACGTATCCAGAAATTTTGAATTAATTTAGTGCATATTTAGCAGAATTTCCCTTAATAACTGTTAATCAAACTAAAGAAAAGTCCTCGCCAAACAATTGTTAATGCCAAAGGCAAAAATAATTAGGAAAACTAATGAAAATGACTTGAAAACTTTGAGTTTTAACGATAATGACAAAATAAAGGGTAAAGTGAGTAGTATCAGGATTGGAAAAAAACTTGTGCGGGGCTTGTCTTGTCACTGGATTTTGCTGAGTGACACTACAATTCGATCAAAACTCACCGCATGACAATTCTACAATATAAAACTTTTATTACTTTTTTGTATTTAAAGCTCTCATAATTATTTTTTCTATTAATTAATACACACCATGAGATTAATCTAATGTTTTTTTTTCCTACTCGTGCCTTCCTTTCCTTTCTTCGTAAGAATATGATAAAAAAAAAATTGAGCCATTAAAATTTTCTTCCCAAGTCCTTTCAATTGCTGGGAAAAAGGAAAATGGAGATGGAAGTTTGTTCCTTTTTCCTTTGTTGTGTAATATTTTTCAAAATCTATTTTTCCTTTTTTACTTTTCACCTTCCTCAATGTATATATAAAAATATAGTTTTCTTCAGGTAAGTGATTCTAACTCACCTTGTATCAATAGTCGGTTTTGGTCACTGGGTTTCCAACATTTACAATCTTAATCACTTTAGTAAGTTTTGTGTTTAAAATATCAAATTGTTCATTATTATTTATAATATTGTTAAAAATATATAATTAAATTTTAAATGCACGAACAACTCTTGTAAAAATACAGATTTTGTAAAATATGAAATATGTGTTGGATTTTTTATTTTTTCCATTTCATGATAGTGGGAGAAGATGACTTAATTGTTTTTTTTCCCATATTCATATGAAGAAAGGAAAGACAGAGTGGGGAAGAAGACAGTAGAGAAAATTTGGGAAGAAAAGAGAGAGAGGGAGAGAGGGGAAAAGGAAAAAAAAACCATTAAATTATTCTCATGGTGTATATTAATTAGTAAGAAAAAAATTTATAAGGACTTTAAATTTAAAAATAAAAGATTATATTTAGACTTACCATGTGGTGAATTTTGATTGGATTGTAATGCCACTCAGTAAAATTCAATGGCATGCCAAGCCTTACACAAGTTTTTATCCCAAGATTGACTTTTTAGTGTAAAAATGTGATTTTTTGTTAAAGTGAACAGTACCATGGATTTTTCGTTAAAACTTTCAAAATAATTAGGTGAGATAGCAGTTGAGTTCATGAGTTTTGTTTCTTCCGAACGGTGCCGCAAGTGAGTTTGAATATTTGTCCGATATTGCTTCTACAGAGGCTAAAATTGTTTTCTGATGGATGCATTTGGTGTCATAGAAATGTTCTATAGATAGATCCTGTCAATTAACTTGATCCAGCAACTATTCAGGGTCCAGCACCGACATCAGTAGCATTACCATGACTTGACTAAGCGAACGTTGTATCAGTAAACCAGATTGCCGCTCCTTACAGAAAAAAAAGGTGAATTAATTATGGTTGGCAAGGAATCCAGGATGAGAGATTAAAAGCGGATAGACAGTATAGAAATCACATGTTATTTGGTCTTCTTGAAGCACTTCCAAATATTTCCTGAAGAAACGATTGGATTTTCAATAAAAAATTTGACGCATTTCAAATAAAAACGCTTATAACCGAAAGTGGTTTTAGTAGAAATCATTTCAAATGAGCCAGGTCATTACTCATGATGACCGTCACAAGCTAGGGAATAGACTTTCTTTCATTTTGTATCTGTCAGCTTCTGACATTTGCGTATAAAAATTTGAGTTCTGACGGTCATGCCTTCTAGTGAATATGATCAACAACATATCTTTGTTTCAACTCCAAGCTTCCTTTATATCCACCGACTAGTTTTGCTTTGCGGACAAACCAAACTCTCTGAACTCTCAACATAATCTCACTTCACAAACCCAGCCCTGTTATGTCTGCAGAATTACACGAATACCTTATCTAGATTGCAGCACTACCGCCTGATTCCTGAGGCAATTTGGTAAATTGCTCTGCCCTCAATCAAATGTCCATCTTATGAAACTCATTAAACGTTACAAATAAACCACCATAGAGAGGTCAAGTGGTTAGGGAAAAATTCCAGACTCATATTTTACATGACACGTCTTAGGTTTGATTCATGACGTTTGTGAATCACACGATGGTGGTCAGAGAAGGCTAAAATGCCTTTGTGAGTAGTTCAAAATTCCGAAAGGGTGAACGTGACGAAACCCCCAGGTGATCCTCTTTTTTAAGAGAAAAAAAAATCAAACGTTACAAATAAATATTGGTTTATAACATATATTAAATAATTAATAATAAACAAATTTTTTCATTGAGTGTATATATAGTTCCTGAGGCATCGGAAAGCTCAGATGTGGAAGGAGCTAAGAGCAAATTAAGACTACAAAACATTGGAAGAGGATGGGGCGTACGAACACGGTTTTGTTGGTGTTGGTTTTTGCAGCTTTGCTCACAAAGGAAACCTTGGCATCACAACATCATGTTGGGGGCAGCCAAGGCTGGGAGCAATCCACAGAATTGAACTCATGGGCGTCCGCCCAGAAATTCAAGGTTGGTGACCAACTTGGTAAGTTACTTGTTACTTCGTCTCTAGACAAGACATCTGTATATGGTAATTAATGGATTCTCAATAAAGTATGGTCAAATCATCGATATTATTCGTAGATTAATAATGTTGTCAACCGTACGTATCGACGTGTTATCGATACAAAATCCGCTCTTTAACAACGGACAAACGTCATGCACAAAGTGTTAATATGTTTCTTATAGTACCTCTTCGTCTAAAACTGCTTCTATTACAAATAATTTTGCTCATAAACATTTTTATTATAGAAGTACTTTTTTTTATAAAAAAAATCACGTTGAAATATCATGAGAACTCCAAGTGCTTTTTTAACAAGAGATATTTGGAAGTGCTAACGCATACATGGAAAGTGTTTCTCGAAAAAAACACTTATATAACCCAAAAGCACTTTCACCTAAGCATAGAAAAACTCTTTTGGTCGTTAGAAAATGCTTTTTTAATCCTTCCAACATGAAATTCTAATTACATTATGCTCAGTGTTATACTGTGATAACCAATATAATTGATCTTTCCTGGCAGTTTTTAAGTACACCTCGGGGCTGCACAGTGTGGTGGAGCTACCAAACGAGAGCGCCTACAAGAGCTGCGACGCCGGCAGTGCCCTGGACACCAAGTCTAGCGGCAATGATGTGGTGAAACTGACCAAGGCCGGCACACGATATTTTGCTTGCGGCACTTCAGGCCACTGCGACCAAGGCATGAAGATGAAGATCACTACTGTCGACGGAAACGCACCTTCTTCACCGTCATCACCATCATCATCGTCTTCCGACGCTTCTCCTCCTGCTTCGACTTCTGCGGCAGCTTCTTCTTCTTTCCCGCATTCTGCCCCTTCATTGTTTGTGATTGCTGCATTATCTGCCACCCTTCTGCTTTCCGCGTTTTAAAACTTTGTTTCGGAGTATCTTGGGCCTATTGGGCCTGCTTATTACTACGATGGACGTGTGATTTCATCTTGGATTTTGGAGATAAATTACGGTCAGTGACGGATTTGTTTGTAATTACAGCAAATATTTTATGGTTTTATTTTTCGGTTGATTGAAATTTTAAAGAAGAGCATAATAAAGTGGCTGCGATGGGTTTTATTTTTGGAATCCATATGTACGTAGACATATTTAACCTTCAACTCTACTACAATTTACAACAAGGTTAGTCACAATTAGATATCGAACTTGTCGTTCATGCAAGTTAAATTCAAGTCAATCTCTAATAAATAAAAATAAATACCACTCAACAAAAGACTAATTGCTAGTTTTAAGTTTTCACTTTCAAGTTTTCGTCATGTTTTAGTTTTTAAAAATGATACGCATTCAATTATATCTAACAAAATAAACTAAAAAAAAAAAAAAAATTTATAACAGATTTCAAACGTGCCCTTAATCTATAGTTTTTGACAAAAAATACAAAAAGAAATGAAAAACCAATACCTCCCTTCACCTATATTGGTTATATAAAGAATGTAGCTCTTACCAATATTAGTTAAAGAAATCCTAGCAACCTTTGCATTTAAATTTTCATGATACGTGTCATTTTAATATATAAAAAATAAGACCTTTTAAGTCCTTTTAAATTATCAACGTCTAATAGGTCTTCAGGTTAATTTAAAAATGCTTGGAGTGTAAGTAAGGTTAGAGTTCAATAATTGCTTTTGTCGAACCCTAAGTCTAATATTCGGGTACTTAGGGAGTAAGGGCTCTTTATATATATATATATATATTTTTTTTTTTGCCAAATGATAAATTTTATTAGATTAGTCACCGATATAATTTAAATATATACAATCATGCGCGAGTTTAACTATTTTTCACCACTGTAGTGAAATGTCACTTGCAACTCTTTATATTTTTTTTAGGTGTGAGATTTGGTGGATCAAAATTAATGGCTGACAAAAACTCTAAGGGGGCGTTTGTTGCGCCGGACTATCTCGGATTGGATTAGCTTCAAGGACTAAGCTGGACTGGCTTAGACTAGACTAAACTGGACTAACTTAGTGAAGTGTTTGGTGCAGTATTGGACTAAGAAGCTGGATAATAACAAATTATAATATTATATTATTTAATATATAAATTATTAATATTTTATTATGATCTTATCTTTTTCTTCATTTTTTCCTACCATTTCCTCGTTAAATCAGATGAAGTTAGCACCGCCAAAAAATTCATCACCATCCCTGGACCGAGATCTTAGCTTTGAATACTCGAATCTGTCATGGATTTGAAGAAGCCCAAACAGGCCGAGACTTCCAGGCCATTTTCCGATCACATTCGACCACATTTTGGCCTCGATTCAGTTAAAATCGTAATCTTGTCACTCCCAGCTTCAATTTGGTATATTTTGTATGAAAGTTGGTTGTGAAATGGATCTGAAAGAGAGTCGGAAAGTTAATGATTGATCTAGGTGACCGGAGATGACGAGGAGTTTGTCAAGAGTGGTCGTTGAGCATGACGAGGACGAGAAAGAGAGGATAGTCTTAGCTAGTCCCATAGTTATTGGGGGGTCTCGCTAAGACCTCTTAGTGAAGGGTTTTGTCCATGCTAGTCCCCTTTAGTCTCATTAATGTTAGTCCCAGCATGGAACAAACACAGTATTGGACTAATAGCTAGTCCAGTGCAGTCCAGTCCAACTTAGTGAGGGCAAACAAACGCCCCCTAACGACGTCACGGTGGAAAGATTCACTAGGGTCAAGACTATATAAATAAACGGCCAGGATCCCCGGTCACACAACGCAAAACTTCAGATGAACGCTTCAAACGAGGGGCCAGTGCGCATAAGACTTTTGACTACTTAAGAGATGTCTACAAGAGCTTGATAATTTAAACTTGATACCTACTTTGTCGGAGAAAAGGAATTTTATCCCCAATAAAAGGGCAACCACGTGCCTATCCAAGACCAGAAAAATAAAAATAATAATTTTCGCAAAATCAGAAAAATTAAATAATATTTTCCAATAAACAAAAATATGAGAGATCTCGTGAGCTGGTGCGGCTCTCCAATAAACAAAAAATGTGAGAGAGATCCCATGAGTTGGTGAGTCTTCTTAACTGTAGCCATAGATATGGTGAAATTTCCCCATAGATTTTTCGGGCTTGAAAGAGTTTCATAAATGTGACTTGCCATCGGTTGTTTATTTATTTATTTTTTATTTATTATTATTAATATGAAAAACAATATTTTCATTTATAAAAAATAATCATAAAAATGAAAATGAAAGCGCGAATCTTGTGCGCCCGGACAAATCGTGACGAAACGGCAGAGTCTCCTCTATCCAGCTGAAACTCTAAACATAATTTTTCACTTAAACTGCAGTGTCGTGTCGTGTCGTTCTTTACCAAAATTCACTCCGAAACCCGAAACCAGAGATCGAGAGCGAGAGAGGGAGTGGAAAACCATGCCGGAGGACGCGACGGCGATTGACTATGTGATGGAGAAAGCCTCTGGTCCCCACTTCTCGGGGCTCCGGCTCGACGGCATCCTCTCCTCTCCGTCGCCTTCCTCGTCTCCGGCCGCCGCCTCCAACCTCGCAGCCGACCCCAACGCCCCCAAGCAGCCATTCGTCATCGGTACTCTCACCCCCTCGCTCTTCGTTTTAATTTCAATTTGCATTTCGTTGATCCGCTGCGATTCAGTCTCCGCTGCAACTGCATTTCAATTTCGTTGGCGTTACGGTGATTGATTAGGTGTTTCGGGAGGTACGGCTTCCGGTAAGACGACGGTGTGCGACATGATCATCCAGCAGCTTCACGATCATCGTGTCGTACTTGTCAATCAGGTTAGGGCTTGGTGAAGCTCCTTCTCTTTGCTTACTTTCTCTGCATACACGATTTTCTGTTCTTAGTTGATTAAGCTATATAATTAGTATAATTCTTTGATTAGTTTGATTTGGACATTTTGTAGGATTCATTTTATCGAGGTTTGACACCCGAGGAATCGGAACGAGTGCATGAGTATAATTTTGATCACCCTGGTAATCAATTTACTGTTGAAATTCAAATTCACTTTCGTGTTGTTGATTTTAGCTAAGGAACTAGGTTGTGTGCTATGCTATACTGTGCATATCTGACAGTTACGTAGTGGCAGATCATGTTTTGTTTGGGTTCTTTTCTATGTCTATAGGAACATTATTCATATAGTTTACTGATTATCTATTGGTATGTTTTTTAAGATGCTTTTGACACCGAACAACTCTTGGATTGCGTTCAAAAGCTAAAGAACGGGCAATCTGTCCAAGTTCCGATATATGATTTTAAGATACACAGACGAAGTTCTGATAGTTTCCGGCAGGTACTCAAATCATTTAGGTGTTTTCCTCCCTTTTCTTCCTTACGAGTATATAGCTATTTTTGCATGTAATAGCTTACTTGATTACGCTATACTATTTATTGTTTATTATTAATATTCTTCTTCTTATGTTACTTCTATTAGGGTTTTTATTGCTACTGTTATTGCTCTTCTCAAGGACAATTTTGATTCGTAATTGTCGTTTCTCTTCCCTTTTTGGGCATTTGGTTTACTGTTTTGTCAGGTGAATGCTTCTGATGTAATAATCCTGGAAGGAATTCTGGTGTTCCATGACCAACGTGTCCGCAATCTAATGAACATTAAGATTTTTGTCGATACAGGTCTGATCTCTTTTGTGTAATTCTTGTCGTTTTCATATTATTTATTGTCCAATAACGGTTCTTTATGGTCATCACATCTTTTAGATTTCCTTAGTTTTGTTTTGCATGGCATGTTAGTTTGAGCGTTACTTGCGGACTTGATTTGGAAATTTGAGCGTTTCTTGCGGTCTTGATATGGAGTTTTCCTCTTATTGGCCAGTCTCTGTATGTGTGTGAGGAGGAGGTCTTAACCTTTTTTTGGTTATGCTGTCTCTCTCTCTCTCTCTCTTTCAATATTTATCTTACTTTTTACCATATGTTAATAGATGCTGATGTGAGGCTTGCTCGTAGAATAAGACGAGACACAGTTGAGAGGGGCAGAGACATTAACTCTGTTCTTGAAATGGTAAGACCCAATTTGAGCTTGGCTTATTTTTCTTTACAGGAGTTGGGATAATTTTTTTGTAGAGCTGGGTAAGACGAGAGTGGCTTTCTTATAGTTTCTTTAGTAACTCTGCTGAGATTGTATCATTTCCATTCCTAAAATCACAGAGGCATTTTGTATTGTGCAGTATGCTAAGTTCGTCAAACCTGCTTTTGATGATTTTATTCACCCATCAAAGAAGTATGCTGATGTGATCATTCCCCGTGGGGGTGATAATCATGTTGCCATTGATTTGATTGTGCAACATATTCGCACAAAGCTTGGTCAGCATGATCTCTGCAAAATATATCCTAATGTGTACGTTATTCAGTCAACATTTCAGGTATGCAATATGTGTTCATGTGATTTGTTTTCATATAGACATATTGTTCACCTTCTGTCTTATGCGGGAATTAGGAATTTGGCATTTGGCTTTGATTGTTGATTCCACAACTCATCAGTACAAATGATTTGCCAAATTCAGTTACATGACTCTTGTTTTTAGTTTAGTTGAGTATGGGTCTTGTTTTTATAACTCAGAAACTTTTTAAACTGCATTTTCTGAGCACGTTTTGTGTTCTTCTCAAGTATTTTAATTTTCAGCTCTGAAAAGCAAATCAGATTTCTTGGTTGACTGAACCAAGTAGTTTGAGCATATAATTTGCATTATGATGGACTTGTAACCTTAAAGCTTTTCCCAACAGTCGGCACTTGGATGACTATTTGCTCACTTTCTTCTCTTTAGTCTTTAATCTAGTTGTTCTCATTTTTCAGATTAGAGGTATGCATACACTGATTCGAGACCGAGAAATATCGAAGCATGATTTTGTGTTTTATTCAGATCGGCTAATACGTCTGGTAATTTATATTCCATGCCTAATTTAAATTTCATACATCTACAAGAGTTGTGCTTATATTTTCTTATACTCTGATGTGGCCTCCAGGTTGTGGAGCACGGCCTTGGCCATTTGCCATTCACAGAGAAGCAAGTAGTAACTCCAACAGGTGTGCTGATTACATGTCTACAATTTCATCTTTCCTTACCCATACTAGTTTCATAACTTGATTGTGACATGTTCGGTTCGGCATGGGGATAATATTGGATTTCCTTTAGGGGCTAGGGTGTATTTTGAATTTTTTATATATGCTATTTTGAGTATATGGATAAATCTTGCACAAACATGGATTCATATTTAATTTGCATCATCGGAACTATAGCCTGAAAATGAGGAATATTTTGCATGTCTTTGAAAATTTGCTTCTATTATATACCAGCATCAGTATATACCGGGGTGGATTTCTGCAAGAAACTGTGTGGGGTTTCAATTGTTCGAAGGTGAGCTTTAAATCAGGTATTGAATTTTAGAAGTTTTATTTATCCGGCAGTCCTTTGCCTATGCCGACAACCTTTCCTTGTTTATTATGTCAGTGGTGAGAGCATGGAAAATGCATTACGTGCATGCTGCAAAGGAATAAAGATTGGAAAGATTCTGATTCACCGTGATGGAGACAATGGAAAGCAGGTACCTTGTTTTTAAAGGAGAAAATTTGACCAATAGCTATCTCCTCCCTCTCAAACCTTATAAAAATTGTGTATAACCGAGCTATTCCAACTTAAACAGCTTATTTACGAGAAACTTCCAATGGATATTTCAGAACGTCATGTCCTGCTTCTAGATCCAGTCCTTGCTACAGGTAATCCCATTTATCTCTCATAAGCTTGGTTGTCCTTCTTTGGTACCTGCATATACGCAGGAAATGCAGTTGGTAGTGTTGCAAGAAAAATTTCATCTCTAGTTTTTTATTCTCATTGTTATACACAGCAGTGGTAGAAAGATATCATTTGTGTATGTCTAATGCCATTCCCATTGAAAGAGCATGTTGTGAGACAGTGTTCTGTCTGAATATTCAGTTGGTGTGGCATGTTAGCTTCTGCTAGCTTAAAACTGTAGTCTGGTTTTTGTTTGTTTTTTAATTTTTGGGGCATGGGAGTCTTTGTTATGTGGTACGCTGAAGAATTTGTGTATATAATGAGGCTCAATCAGTCTATTGCTCTTGAAAGTATGGTCAAATCTCACATTGCTCCCGAAGTCACGACGCCCCACTTTTCCCCTTGTCCGATGGTTTGTGTCTCACTTTGACACAGAACAATAGTGACAGGAGCAAGGCAGTTCATTGTGACTTGTGGGGGCCAATGCGGGATTTGCCCATACTTTTAGGGGCCACTACTCTAAACATTTCAAATTACAAGCAACAGTAAATAGGCATCCATAATTCATCAAATTTACAAGCCATTCTGCTAGAGGTCATTCTTCAAATTTTTGAACTTGCTGGTGACTGAGTAGTAACGATCAACCTTAATGGCTTGTAGGTAACTCTGCTAACCAGGCGATTGAACTACTCATACAGAAAGGAGTTCCTGAAGCCCATATTATTTTCTTAAACCTTATTTCTGTGAGTTTTTTCTTGATGCTGGTTGATTACGCGTATACAAATAACAACACACATTGACTTAAATACCCTACTATTTTCATCTGCCTTAGGCCCCTGAAGGAATCCATTGTGTTTCCAAACGGTTTCCATCTTTGAAGATTGTGACTTCGGAGATTGATGTTGCGCTGAATGAAGAGTTCCGTGTCATACCAGGACTGGGTGAATTTGGTGATCGATACTTTGGCACCGATGATTAAGTGCATACTTATAGATTGCCATCGTATAATATTGGGCTGCGGCCTTGGAATAGATCGTTGTTTCCGAATTTGTTTCCATTTGGAAACCTGCAGGTGTGTATTGGCGTTGTGTCCAAATTCTATAAATGGTTGAATTGTTTCAACTTTCAACCCATGAGCTAACTGATGGTGGAATTTATAAAAATTACTGTGTGATGTTAGTTTCTTGGTCCTCATGCTATTTGTCAATTTTGGAAGTTTATTATGAAATACAGGAGCTTTTTCTTGCATTTGATCGCGTCTAATTGTTTTTTGAACGAAAGGACCTATTAATTTTTTTTTTTTTTGGTTTAATTTGATCGCGTCTAATTGTTTCTTTGAACAAAGGGACCTATTAATCTTTTTTTCTTAAAATTGTTAAAAATTATCAACTAATAACTTCGTCATGGCAATCTACTATTTTGGGAACTAAAAAAACTCACAGAAGCATTTTAGTTTTTTCAGGTCACCATCGTGTGACTCATCAATATTGGGAATCAATTCAAGATGTGTCGTGTGGAAAAATGACCTATTAATTGATAATTTGGGTATTGTCTGATATCGTTTGGATATTTCTTTTGGGGGACTGGGAATGCAGCTGTAATAGTATCTCAAGTCAAATACACACTAACATACTTTTTAATTTTGTTCATATGACAGTGCTTGATTGATTTCGGATATCATCACATTGGCAATCCCGTTGTAGGGATTGCCCTTATTGAGAGAATTTACCTTATTACCAGTTACAAGAATCTCTCATTAATATCGTCTTGATTGAAATTGCCAATTCCAACTTATAAGTCATTGTCATTGACCCCGCAAAACTTAAATTCCACAGTGGGAAATCAAAACTTCCAACGCCTCAGAATCATTGACTTGGAAGTCTCTGCACAATTCTACTATTTGTATAAGAAGGGAGAAAGGATAGCCAGACAAGTATGATTGTGACCCCATTTGAACCCTGAAGTGTTACTTGCAAACTGACCCTTATGCGAGCATGTAATGACCATTTATATGTTTTTTGTAGAAAGCATTTCACGTGCTTTTTCTAGAATTTTCATTTGCATTTTTACTAAGAATTGGTTCTAAAAATATTTTCACCGAAAACACTTTCCATCATTTTAAAATAACTTCCCAACGAGCCCTTATATGATACCTATGTACTATTGTCGTTGCATCTGGTGTCAATAAAACAAGCAACGTGAACAAAACTTGCCCATGTTTTTATGTATTTGCCACGAAACGAAACAATAACAGCATACCCATGTAATGCAAATACTTCTAGACACACTAAGGGTCGGGACCACTGAGTTGGAAGTCTAGCGACTGTGAAGGGCCAGCCACAGACAATCGGTCGGCCGCCCATTTTCCATGAACACTCATTCTCCTTAAAAAAAATGACATTGTTATAGTTTTTCACACTTTAAATATTGCAGACATCTTGAGACCTGCAAAGCATATCTCATTGCATGCTCACATAAGAAGTATGCTCAGACTGAAGACTGAATTTTTATTACTTTGAAACTGAATATTTATTACATAAGTTCTCACACATAAAAGATAACATCATCAACAATTTTTACTACCTTTGTTTTTTTTTTTTTTTTTTTCTGTCTTCATTCTCTTGTTTATGTCACTTAATATTTATTACTTTATTGAATGCAAACGCAAATGTTGGGAAAAAAAACTTAGAGTACACAACTCTAGCACAAGTGTTGGAGAGACAACACAAGTAAACAAATTACTTGTATTACACAAACAAAATATTACAACACTCTCAAATGACACTCTTAAGAAGCTATGATACTCACTCACTTTCTAGAGACAAACTCTAGAGCACTCACACTCTTACAAGACTACTTACAAGGCTTCCCACTCTCTTACTTAGCTCTTCTTAATTGATTGGTTGCTTGTTGATTTGTTGATACAAATGGTGTGGATGCCTTCTCCTTTTATAGGCATGGATGGAACCTTGGAGAAGCATGGACACACCATGCTAGAGATATCTAGATAATTCCACTAACTTCCTAAGTTAGAATTATCTACACTAAACTTGCATGTTGGCAGAAACCTCACCATTCTTCTAGACTCTTCCACCAACTTAAGAAACAACATTCTAGTCATTTCTACAAAGTACTACTTTAACTTGGATAATCTAGCTAACCAACCTTAGTGAATGTTCTAGAATTCTTTATTCTAGATTTGTGCAGGTCCTTTAATGAGATGGAGTTGATTTCTTTAACAGCAAATGCAAATGCTAGAAAAAAATAAAAGATTGAAAGGTAGAAAATGACATTGTGAATATTATTTCCCATATATTAGAGAAAAACAATTTGAAGATTGCGAGGTCCCAAAGCTACAAATTAGTATATAAGCTTCTTACATTGGTTTTAGTGTTACCGGTTACAACCGATTCGGTGGAGAGAGCGTTTTCGTCCCTTTGTCCGACAATTCCTGACTTTCGCTACTGCCAACGAGCCTTTATTTGATACGTATGTACCATTATTGTTGCATCCGATGTCAATAAAACAAGTTATGTGAACAAAACTTACACATGTTTTCATGTATTTGCCACGAAACGAAACATTAACAGCATACCCATGTAATACAAATACTTCTGAACACATTAATGGTCGGGACCACTGACTTGGAAGTCTAGCGACTGTGAAAGGCCAGCCACATACCATCGGCCGGCTGCCCATTTTCCATGAAGACTCATTCTCCTTAGAAAAAATGACATTGTTATACTTTTTCACACTTTAAATACTGCAGATATCTTGAGACCTGCAAAGCATATCTCATTGCATGCTCACATAAGAAGTATGGTTCCCAGAAGTGCTTCCATCCAACTTTTTTCACTTATTATACTGTCAGGTTTCCTCTTCTTTGAAACTACTAAACTTGGTTTCTGCAGTGCTGATCGTAACGTGGGATGCAAGGAAACTGAGAGGAAAGCCCTTCTCGAGCTCAAAGCCGGTCTCACAAATCCTTCAGGCCGGCTTTCATCTTGGGTGGGAGAAGATTGTTGCAATTGGAGCGGTGTAGGCTGCAACAACGTAACTGGACGCGTGACCACGCTCAATCTCCACAACGAATTTTCAGATGGCGAGGATGGAACATTGCTTGCATTTGGCGGTGAGATCAACCTTTCTTTGCTTGTTTTGAAAGATTTGATCCACTTGGATTTGAGCATGAATAACTTTGAAGGTGTTCGAATTCCAAACTTCATCGGATCACTAGAGAAATTGGAATACCTCAATCTCTCTAGTGCATCTTTCGGTGGAGTCATTCCCCAAAGTTTTGGAAACCTTTCGAGATTGCTTTCTCTAGACCTCAGCTATTATCTTTTTGAACCCATAGCGAATGATCTTCGATGGCTTCCAACTCTTTCTTCCTTAAAGTACCTAAACCTCGGAGGAGTAGACCTTAGCAAGGCTAAATCACGTTGGCTTCCCACTGTCAATATGCTACCTTCGCTCGTTGAATTGCATTTGCCCTCTTGTGGACTTTCCATCCTTCCTCTCACCCTTCCTTCCATGAATTTCGCATCCCTTTCAGTTCTCGATCTTTCAAACAACAATTTCAACTCCACATTACCTCCCTGGTTGTTCAATCTGACTAACCTAGTCACCCTTGAAATGCACTCAACCAATCTCCACGGAGCACTTCCAGAAACATTTGGTAGTTTGACATCTCTTCGGACGCTTGATTTGTCGGAAAACTCAAACATTGAAGGACCTTTGCCAAGAAGCTTAGGAATGCTGTGCAACTTGCAGACGGTGAATCTTCCCATCAACAAATTTACTGGCGAGATTATTGATTTCGTTGATAGGTTGTCTGCATGCATAAACAACAGCTTAGAGAGGCTGGATTTGGGATATAATAGCCTGACAGGAAGACTGCCGGATTCTTTGGGAAATCTTAAAACCTTAAGATTCCTCAAATTGTGGTTTAATTCATTTGAAGGCTCAATCCCAAAATCTATTG